TGTGCACCGATTGGAGACCCCCGAGACAGAGCAGAGCATGACAGAGACAGACAGAGGGACAGACAGAGACAAACTCTGTTTCAGCCAGATATCATCAGCTCCGAGCAGTCGGCTCAGTGTCGGTCTGAGCTTTGGGGGCCCATTGCCCAAGCAGAGATGCGGCCGGACCCGCGATTTACATTGGTCGGGGCCCAGGGGTGTCAATTTTTGCTTTTTTTGGGGGGGGGGCGAACCATGGCTTGGCAACCTTCTTCTCCCCAGTTTTTGTCACTGGATTTAGCCCACTTGAGGGTAAGTAATAGTAAAACATGGTTTTAATGGTAATAGACAAGTAATACATGGTTTTCATTTTTGCATGATTTATAAAAAGTCTTTGATTTCACCAGTATAGTAATCATTCAGGAGTGGATCTAGGGAGCCAGCATAGGAACCATGCGCCTCTTCTGATCAGCAAGTGGTGGCCGCCTTAGGGTGCCGAAGGCACACGTTTGTAGCGACCATGAAGGACGGCATGTATTTGGTTGTGGTGGACGGAATGGGTATAGCCATGGAGGACTTAGGTCGTCCCCGTACTCCAGAGCTTTTCACTTAAACCTCACAAACCCCGCGTGTCTTATGACCCTTGCGCGTAAAGTTCTATGTATCGCGTATCCGCAAAGCTACCAGAAAATACCAGAAGCCTGCGTTTCTGTGAGGTCAACATTCGACTACAGTAATGGGTCCCGCCATAAGTTTGGAGGCCAAGCCTTGCAGCCAAATTACACAACCTTCTTCAGTTTTATTTTGCTCTTGGTTTAGGTCACATCGCCCCTTTCCCCTGAAAACAGTGGTACCTTATTAAAGGTAAGATTTTCTGTGACATATGGGCTGTGCGTGTAAATCTGATCTCAGTTTGGCGCCGCTGAGCATTTTTCAACTAAACTTTTTGGAATGACATAAAGAAGCTGCGTTGGCCAATACGTACGTGTAATTTAGGCTAAAAGCGAACTACGATAATGAAAGGCATAAAATGGCACGTGAAAAACCATGAGAACACGATTACTGCGACTGTGTTGTGAGAACTGTGTATGCTAGTAATGGGATCGGCACATGCTTGCCTATTTTGTACGCGCTAGGGCAGGAGTTAATTTGCCCCCTCCCCTTCCTCCGAAGGCCTTCTAGAATAATTTCCGACCGGCGTGGCAAAGCCGTTCATAGCGTTGGCAAGTGCACAGGCAGGGGTGCAGTTTCTTTTCAGTCGGGGATCTTTAGCCCTTCCCCAACTTGGGGAAGGGCTAAACAGCAAAAAAAAACAGCCCCTACTAACTCTGGGAAGAAATTCGGCAAAATCCTGGCAGATATCTATTTTTTGGTATATTTTAGAGGCGGGTTGGGTCATTTTTCACTGTTCAGACTCCGAACTCATTTCGGGAAACTACGCCTCTGTGTACAGCCATGTAAGATAAGCATACTTTTCTTCGTGGAGGTAAACATCTGACTGCATGAACGATAAAGTATTTGTGAAGCTACACCGCGCCAAACTCTGCGTAGTTGTAGGAAGTCGAGCAACAAATCTTTAGGTATAGAAAGCTAGATATGCATGGTCAGGTCGCTGACCTATGGCAGGTCAAAGTCAGGCTATGACTGTCAGCAAAGGCATATCCTGGGAAATCGTTCAATCTCATGCGACAACGGAATGTTACACGAAAATATGCATCTTTGAAACAATTTCTTGGACTAGTATCCGATTGAAGTTATGATTGCCACTAATTCCATCCAACTTCGGTCACATATTAAAGGCAGACAAGGGCCAAAACTAAACTACTTTTTCACGGAAAAACGTGCTTTGAGGGATAGTTTTATGTTCGTTTCAAATTTCCTGATCACAAGGAAGTCACGCCTGGGATTACGCTTGACGGGCAAAAACACGTCAGGCATTAAGAGGGATTAGCCCTCATTACGTTCAGTCGCCCATTTTTTCTTTTTTTTCCATTCACCTTTTTAGGAAAAAAATTCGTAGTTGCGAGGACTACATTAGCTGCTGCATCCACCATGGCGACGCCGCATACAATTTTTGAAAATTTTGTTTGGATGTGGTGGTGAGACTTCACCTACGCTTTTGTAGTATTCCAGCCAAAAACATTAGGATAGGGCTTAGCCAGCCTGGGGGGGGGGGGGGGGGGGCAGGGCCTCACAAAAAAATTATAATCGCCACCCGTGTCGGGCTCCCAACAGCAATCAGTGCTCCTGTATCGTTCTGAGGCCCGCAGGGCCCAAAGGGACAATCAGTGTCAACAAGGACCGCGGTTCGGCCAGAGGGAGGTTCGATCAACAGGAACAGGAACGGGAACGGGATCCCGAGTGACAGAAGGGTTCTCGCGCTGGTCTGAGCCTCGGACAATGAATGGAAACATGGGAGCTTATGATGATTGTTTGCGCTGAGGCAATGGAAGGGTTCTGCGCCAATCGAGGGCCCCAATACCCAACGGTGGGCTACCCAACCCAATTCGAGCATGGGGTCATAAGCCGAAGCGGAGTCAAATACTGGGCCTCCATATATGTGCCAATTATTGGGCTACCTGCTGCGATCAGGCTAGTTGTTGTGTCAGCAAAAGTTTCTGCGTCGATCCGGGGTCAACTGAGGCCTACGCGGGTAAGAAGGTCTCCCGTATCAGGGCGGGGACAAACGTAATATGATGTCTCCGGATCGGCCAGGAGATCCCCCACGTGCCGCCATCATAGCAGCCGGAAATACTCCACTGTTGGACAAAATGGCCCTTCAACCCACAACCAGGAACAATGAGGTGCCCTAGTATAGTAATCAAGGGGCTTCTTTCCTGGAATTACGGGGTCTTATTAGTGTTGAAAAGAATGGGCCCAAATGAATTAAAAACGAACGAGTCCATCCCATGTTTGCTTGAGAACGTTTATTGTTTGCAGGACAGACTAGTGAAACAACTTATCAAAATGTTTAAGCCTACGTGCTCGCAATATTGTAAGTAGGGACAGCGATGGCCTGGGTTAAAGTTTCGTAAAACCGAACGGTATTGCCACTGCAAGTGACACCAGGCGAACGTTGCCGTTCGAGCGGCGACGACCGTCGTAGAATAATACTTCCTAATGTCTTAAAAATAGATCCGAACCGGTCAAAGAACGGGCTGGACGTATTTTTGGCAACTTTAAGGCTGACCTCTTGACAGATTAAAATCTTCAACACGATAATTAGAGATCCCCTTTATTCATCCAGCTCTGTCACAATATTTCAACACTTCTTCGAGGTGCTGTAAAGGCGAATCCGTTAAATTTATCGCTGTAAAATCGCACAGCTGAAGTACGCGCACGGCTACCTCTTGAATATACGGTGGCATGAGCTAAGGCGCTAGAAAGTACTCCTTTCCAATGCGTCATCATTTTCGTACACCCGTTGGCCACAACACAGTGCTACCCACGAGGCCAACACGGCGTGACCTACGGGGACTGCAACGCCTGGCATCGAGGCTTTTGCTGCTAAGCGCTCATGCCCAAAACTGCACTACTCAATTTGTAGCACTAAACAATGCAGACTGAATGTTAAAAATTATCAAACATTGTTTGGTAATGTTGATGCATATTGCTGACCGATTTCGATCTATATTTACGAAGTCCTTAATAATTTTTGGGATGCACAGAGATCTGTACAGCCCAGATAAATATCCTGAAGAAAGATGAAACGGTAGTAATAGCACTATTCCTCGGAGAAAAACCAGGAGGATGAATATATAGATGCGTTGATATTTCAGCAACATGTCTTGATCGAACTGAAGAGCAGAAGAATATTCCCCTTTTCTTTTGGATAAAGGCATGTTGCCGAAATATCAACGTATGTATATCTCCAGACTCCTGTTTTTCTCCGAGAAATAAGGCTAATACTACTGTCTTATTTATGCGAATAATGTTCCTTGCAAATGCACTTAACGACCTATGTAATTCTGACAATAGCTTCGGCCCAGCCTTTCGAAAGCTTCAGATCTATATCAATTCCACTGGACCACTGTAAAATGACGAGTCACCGCGGCGTATTTCATGCAGTCATTTTACACATGATTTCTAAGTTGACTGACTATAAAACTCAGGCAGAGTTGATCTCACGATAGCTTTCGGCTTCTATTTCACTTATATTAAGTAAAAGTGGAAAATGTCAAAAAGAAAACACATTTTCATTAACAACTGGGCTATATTCTGCAATTTTGTTTGGACGGCCTTTTAAGATCAGAAGGCCCTTATTCAACCCTGCGCCCCCTCCTTGCCATGGGTCTGGCTGCGTGCCTAACGGCAGCCCATGGCAAGCTTTGATATGAAAATCATGACCCGTTAATGCTTTTCGCCACCTGTCGTGATTTTTTTCACCGGCTATTGTTTTTCACCAGCTATCACACAAGCTGGCAATTGCTACGAAGCATATGCCAAACAGTCCAACTAAGCTTTGTCCATGTCTTGCACCAAGACATTCAAAGTCACAATCCCTATCTGCACCACATACTCACCCGCCACCACAGCCGCCTCAAGGATAATGGCTCGCGTCACAACAGTTACCAAGTTATTGGGAATTACACGGCAATCCTTAGGTCTGGTTGTCAGTTGACGCAAGGTAGCATATTTAGTGATAAAAGTAATTCCCTTACTTAGGCAAGTTTTTCAGCTTTAAATGCACGCCAAGAGCTATAATAAGCCTTTGCCATCATATCTGATGCTTGTCTCAACATTTTCAAATGCGGAACATTCCCTTCAAGGGATCCGAACTTCTACTGTTAAAAGCGCTTAATCTACAAGTGCCGCGTGTCCTCCGAAGGGCTACTGCTGGGCGGAACAATGATGCGTCCCGTTTGACCTGTCGCCAGTGGACCATGTGGGTGGGGGGGGGGGGGGGGCGAGTCGAGGGACTGGCTGGGTGGGCTGGGGAGGGGAACATCAAATGTCAGCCGCACGTCGCTCGGAGGGTATAAAGGGTGCGCCGGCGGTCGACCAGCCTCACTGTCTGACGAGATGGCGTCTGCCGTGCGGTCCGGGCCTCGCTTGGCGTTGCTCGCACTGCTCGTGGCGTCGGCTGCTGAGGGATACATCGATAGGTAAGTCCCCCTGGCAGCGGCCAGTGCACCCTGCCAGCGGCCATACTAGCCGTCTCTCGCCCCGAAGGCCGGCGAGTTAGGGTATAGAACGCACCCGCCGACCTCCACGTCTATGGCTGCCCTCGATGGGGAATGAACTTGAACCAGTGACTAACTTCAACATCCAGCTGGCTCTCTTACTTGACGTAATGTGTTGATTCACTTACCTACTCTCCGTGATTCACAGAGCGAGTACGTTGCTGTTATGCTTTGATAGCTACATTGGAAGCTCGTAACTCAGGATGTTATCCTCAACGACGGAGAGGGACTGGGGCACAGTCCTCAACGGCGGAGAGGGACTGGGGCATTATCGTTAAGGCATGGGAGGTGTGGCGCTGGTCATATTAACCACCACCGAAACATGTACGTTTTGAAGGTTTCGAGCCTGCAGAAGGGGCCACTTTTATAAAACGGGGATAAATTTATCTAAAATACATTTTCAACATCAGGAAATCCCCAACCTGCGTGTAAAATCTGACACAACTTGAACGGTTTCCGTCGGTGCAATTATATCAATCTCTAATCATAATACGTGTCATATTTGTTCATAGCAGGGGTGAATTCAGAGATGGTTATCGGGCCATGCCCCATCCTTAAGCCCCTTTAAGGTTTTGGTGCGATACCAAAGACACCACAACTTGGCATAAATCCTCATTTTTGAAAGGCACCGAATTCCACGGGTACTGCAATGTGTGTTTTGTGTGCCTTGTCGATATCCGAGATCGGGCTATTCTGTGAGGAAGTACCAAAACTTTTATTTCGGGAAACCATAACCTTAAATCTAAAGAGACACCAGTTTCCAAAGGATGCCACGAAGTGCTCGAAGCGTTCTTCTCAGGGGCATCGAATTCCAGGGGCACAACAGTGTAGTGCCGCCCGACCTTACGACATTATTAATCGGCCCCTTAGACATGAGAACACAAAAACCTTCGTTTCCGCGTACCAGGGCGCCACAATATGTATATTTCACGTTGACAAAATTCTGGATCGGCCTGTTTGGTGACAGGGCACGAAAAACCTACCTTTCATGACATCACAACCCTTTAAGAAATTCAGGAACTTGAAAGAAAATCCAGAACTGTCTGTGAGGGGCGGGGGAGCACCAAGTTATAGGGGCACCACAATAAAAGGCGACCCCCCCTCCCCCCTTTGACAAAATCATGGATCTGCCACTGCTTCATCGCCATATATGAGGTTCCTGGATGACCTTATGTAAGAATCCAGTATCATCCGGTGTAAGAATGCTCTCCAGTCTTATGAAAACAACAGGCAAGGTGTTCTGTGGAAATTGACTATCAACTGCTGTAAGCTGATGAGCTGAACCAGAAAAAAAGATGTTGCCCCCTCCCCCCTCTTCCCCCTTGTGCCGCTACTTCGAATCTGCTACGTACTCACACTGTTGCCACACGGCGTTGCTCGTATTGTTACTCATGGAAACGGCTCACTCGCTTCTTGCGCTATCGTAAAAGGCCTCCAGTTTTTCAGCTTTAGATTAGCGTAGCCCGCGTCGCATCATTAGCCCCGGGCGATGTCGTAGAACGATGCTTTGTTCACGCGCTGCTCTCCGGTGCCTCTGCGCCTAGTATAACGGCTGGCAGCTCTGACCACTGGGCTAAGCGGCTGGCGCAATCCGATCTGCCAACAGGATGTTAAAGGTCATTGAGTTCTCGGCAGTGACGTTTGACTGGCACTTGGGGGCAAATTGCCCCGTCGCGCCGGCGCGTCACCCGTGACATTTTACGAACAAGACCAAACCGAAACAGCACGAGTGCGGACGCAGGTGGCATTCAGCCGGCCAACGCAGTGTCAAGTGATAGGTATTTGGTCAGTGGTACAAATAATAGGTGAAAGCATTGACAGGGTCACGAGGAGCATGCAAAGATCACTAGCCTACAAGATCTGCGTGGCATCATACCAGTGTAATTTGATATCGTCACGGCTACGGCTCTCTCGCTACGCCAGGTGTGATCAGAACTCCACAGAATGCGGAAAGTTATGTTAAAGGCTGCTCAAATAACACCGTTTGACGCAAACATACACAAGAACGGCAAGGTGATGCAGAAATGTATATTCTTCGCATACTTTGCCTGCCGGATTCTAAATTCGCTGCTTTTCGGGAATCAGACTGAAAAGATCACACGTTTTCGACTGCGTTCATGCCGCATCACATTTCTCTACCCTACCACCCTGCCCAAATGACCCTCGGTGGCCAACGTAAAGCAAAATAATAGCGAACACTGGGTACTGCAAAGATGAACCAAGTAGGCATTTAAATAGACTACAAATATGCCGGAAGCGGGATACAAACTAGACTTGGGATGTTATACCAGAAGTTGGCAGCGCCGAGGTAACGGCATCTTTGGTGTAGCTGTGGCGTTAGGTGGGGCTGCGTTATCAGTCACAGAACACAGAACAGAAAACAGAACAGAGTTTAGTGTTGTAAGGGCCTCAGGGTGCCATAGTTTTGAAGTTATTGTATCTGTGTCAAGGTATATATATATATATATATATATATATATATATATATATATATATATATATCATTGGTCCGGGCCAACTTGCACTAGGTCTCAATTTACACGTTATGCCTCATTGTGAACATTCTGCGGCGTAAATGATCACATTTTGACTCAGCAGCCACAGTGAGTTAGTTATGAGCAATGTGTCATAAACGCTCGGCTGGTAAGTGCTGTATGGTTGCGACTGGTCCAGGTGTACTAAGATGTGTCCACACTTTAGATGTGTCCACAGTTTAGAAATTGATTTTCAGTGAAGTAATGCTGAAAATTGGCGTCTAATTTTTCATATTAAGCACACGTAAACAAAACATCATACCAAAGTACAGGCACGTCGTTTCCCGCAAAGTAGATAACGCGCCAGTCATATTAACTCACCACCGTTTCGTGGTCACAGTAGGGCCTTCCATGAAGAAATAAGTGACGAGATAATATAATTTGGATATGCACGCACCTATTACACTTTTATCCAGAGGAATCACTTATAGGCCCGCGCCCTTTTTGGAGTGACACCTGATATCACAAGTTGGCCGATTATTGGCACAATTTATCTTGCTTGAAGTTTCAAAGCTATGTACCCTCCAGATTACCAGTGTCAATGGGCGTTAACTGTTGGTGGGCTGTGCTGAGGCGTGCCCATCTACTGCTCCACCCCATCTCTCGTGTCTGTTTTTTTTTTAGTAGATCTGGCACACTATATTTTGGCCATGCTGTCATTCTCCTCGCATTGCTGTATATCATTCATTTAATAGTCTTGTCTTTCAAAAAAGCGCGTAGTCTTTGCGCGACATTGAACGCTATCTCACTTTTTGCAGCATTCCAGCACCAATATTGCTAGGGGAAAACCAATATTTATTGATGCACGTCAACGTTTGGGAGGGAGAGGAGAGAAGCACCTCACAAATCATTGCTGATCACATGCCTTTTAAAACTGAAACTGCCCCATGCAGTTGCCTGCAATTTCAATCCTGTATTGCACGATGACTCTGCGCTTGGTAACCGTGCCTGACGTCAGCGGCAAATGTTGCAGTTACATAGTGCAACAGCTTGTGTGGTATCCGAAATTTGTAGTTGGGCAATCGAATAAAACATCTTAATAATAATTCCTATTTGTAATAATTCCTATTTGTTGGCTTTTGCAGCATGTGGATTGCAACAGCAATGCACCGAATCGTTGTTTAATGAATTAATGCATAAAAGTACAAGAGGCTAAAACCCTCCATTCAGGGAGACGATATATAAATATGCGGCCATTACCACGCGAATTCAGCGAAACGCTGCACTATGACCTTGGTTTTTCCCTATGATGTTAGGCATAATGCCCTTGCTGGAAGGGTACTTTAAGTTTGGCAAGCATTGTTTACTTGATGCATGTTTCGTTCAAGGTTACGCTTAAGAGACAGGCACGCAGCGGTCACATATCCGCTGGTTTAGCGACGCTTTATACGATGTCTTGGGAAAACCAGCCATGGCACCTGGAATGGAACATTATGAACACCTTGGCAAACATCCCACAAAATTTTCAGCATTTATACTCGGGCTTGAATTCACCGATAATCACACAGCACAGCATTTGGTACTCATGAGCCTTACAACATACTATACTGGCAAAGGAAAATGGATAACAGAGTACGTTTACTCAATTGAGCAACCCATTTTTAGGTGTGCAATGATGGCAAGAGCACAGCGTTATGTCTTTAATTCCTTCACTCATGTTGCAGAATATTTTACGTTTTAGCTGAACCTCTCCAGTTTTTCACATGCAGAGTTCAGCAAAAACATGAGGATGAACAAACGACGCGAAAACAAAAGGCTAAAATGGCCCTTTCCTTGTTAAAAGGGTAACCCAGAAAACAGCTAACATCGACTTGCATCAAATCTGTTGTCGGTGTTAAGAGCATTGACCTTTAAATAAACTCTAGGTGAAATGACGTAGCACGCGTCGAAACTTAGCGATACTCAGCACGAAAACACCACCCTCAATCAATAGCTTCTCTTATGTGCTAGGGTAAGGCAACGTTTTCTTTTGATAACAGTTGATCTTTAAGATTCAACTGAAGTTAAATATCGCCCTGATACGCCGATTTTCATAACGCGGACTGATAGGAAGCATCGACCCCCCCCCCTCCCGCTACGGGGGTCGATGCGTCGTACCAGTAAGGGGGACGCATGATGAACGCATCGATCCCTTACGAGGGTCGATGCGACCTACCCCCGCGTGGAGTTTCTAAACTAGCGAAAACAAAGATTAGCGGAAAACCAGTTAATTGGTCTCAATGAGATCACGTGATTGGTAGATAGTAGAATGCGATCAGATCTAGATTAGTAGATTTTATGTTTTTAGGTCAATAATTGATCCCATTATACAGGTCAAGGCAGCTTTCAGAAACTGTAGGTCGTAGTTGAATTTGATTATAAATGTATCGTTATTTTCACGAACACCGAGTTGACTAAATTGACTAGCATTTATAAGGTTGACTAAATAACACTTATTGATAAAAGTTAAGTTGCCACTGGCGCAAACCGCATTTACTTATTTGTCTATATATCTGGATAAAATCAGAGAGAGCCAATCATAACAAAACCCAAGAATATACCAACTTTGAACCGCTTTCTTACATCGGAGGCCATCAACCTCACTGCATTGGACAGTCTCAGATGAACGCTGATTATCAACTTTCTGCCAAAAATAATTGACTGCCTCCAGTCTTTAATGAGCTTCGCCCCTGCAAGCTAATAATGCAATCTTACTGTTGTAGTCGTGTTACGACAATAAGCTGGACCCTCCCAACCGGACAAAAAATAAGTCCAACACGGTACGCTACGCTCATGAAAATTCAAGCAAAAGGAATACGACCTGCTTAATTAAGAAACGACGCTCCCAATTTTTCCAAGCGCTATTTCCATAGATTATCCAGATTCTAGTGCCCACATCCGAAGGGAAAACAATATTCAAGGATACCGTTCGTCGAGTGACACAGGACGGAGTCCCCCTCCCCCTCCCAACTGGTATTGCGAAAGCGCATTGCTGGCCGCGCGCCACGAGTGCGTGTATGGAAACCCATGAAATGGCATCGGCGATACCTCCATCAGAATCAAAGGAATGGAACGAACTTAGACCAAAGTGGCTGTCGGCATGTGGTGAAATCATAAGTGATGTTTTATTGCTGTAAAGTGATGCTGCTCACTACATCCCTGGGAAACTAGACCTCGTTTAGGAGCAAGATGTCGTCAGCTATGGAGTCAAGCTCCTAATGCGTTAGTTAACATTACATAATTTCTCTGAACGCCGTAAGGCTGACGAAGTTCTAATGCATCTAGACCCGTTAATTTGATAGCATTTGAAATTCCCTCTCCCGTCGCCACGCATTCTGGATCGGCACGTCATTGGCATGCGGCCATGCTGACGTGCAGCGGGCGTCCAGAGCAGTGTGTCTCACCTGACCTCCCTGTCCAGAGCAGCATGCCTCACCTGACCTCACTATCCAGAGCAGCGTACTTCACCTGACTTCGCCGTCTGGTGCAGTGTACCTCACCTGACCTCGCCGTCTGGTGCACCGTGCCTCACCTGACCTCGCCGTCTGGTGCACCGTGCCTCACCTGATCTCGCCGTCTGGTGCACCGTGCCTCACCTGATCTCGCCGTCTGGTGCAGTGTGCCTCACCTGACCTCGCCGTCTGGTGCAGTGTGCCTCACCTGGCTTCGCCGTCTGGTGCAGTGTGCCTCACCTGACCTCGCCGTTACGGCCGCAGGGGCTTCCTGCTGACGGCGCCGAAGGTGCTGATAGCCAACACCGTAGAGCGTTTCTGTTTGACGTTCTTCAACCTGCGTGACAAGGCCAGTGTGTCCGTTTACCTGCTGCCCAAGAAGAACAGCACCGTCGACGACAGCGTGGCGCAGCTCTCCCGCACCTTCTACGTCAGTGGACCCAGTGAGTTACCTGCGTCTGATGCTGGGTGTGGTCTGGTGACGCTGTCTGTCCGTCTGGTGACGTGGTCTGTTTGCGGCCTGCCGCGTATTTAAGAGTGTACAGCGCGCGTCGCTGCTCACGTGTTATGAAGCGTTGTTTTTTTTTTTGTTCCCTTTTTTGTTAAATTAATTTTTTCAAAGTTTTTTTCAAGTTTGAGTCCGTCCCGGTGGCTCAGTTGGCTAGAGCGCCTGCCTTGCGATCCACTCACAGGTGGCAGGGTGGGTTCGAGTCGCTTTAGGGCGCTCGCTATTTGCGTTTGACAGGTATGGCCTGCGGCCGGTGGCAGCGGTCGCGCTGAAGGTCACTTGACGTCAGAGGGCAGGACGAACCTTGCCGAGCATTGCGGCAGTTAAGATTTCGCCACTAAATTCCGCCTTTGCCTGGAATTGCGCGATCGAATGGTGGGGGTCAGGGCTCACACAACAAGCACTGCTTAGTGTGAGCGCTGATCCCAGAAATCTATCCGTTCAAAAGGTTCGAATCAAATTTATTTTAAAAAGTTATAAAAAATTATTCAAGACACAATGCAAACAGATCATGCATCACACTCGTGCGTGAGAATGCATATGTCATGTGGTGCGCCACCTGGATGCCACCCTCCCCGTGTCAAAACACACATCCGAAGACCGCTCCGCATACTTTATAAACTGCTAGCTTCATGTTTCTTTGAATCGCCATTCGGCTTTCCTTTGCGGGTTTCACCCATGCGCACATGCGTACGAGCTGAGACATCAGATGTCTATGAGTGGTGATGCGATCCTTCACTGTTAATGACGGCTGGCTCCACGTACTAATGGCATTACATATTTTTGTGTAAATATGATCTTCATTATCTGCGCCACGGGATGCGTTTGCGCTAACCCATGCATCCAGTGCTTCTGCATTGTTTACGGTTCGTATTTCTGAAACAGACTCGCTACCGCACTCCTGAGCATCTAGCCCGGGCTCTTGTCTGCGTTTGGGCTCAGTTCAAAAGCTTTGCTGAACTCATCCATGAGGCATTGTACTGTCTCTGCTGGTTGCTTTTCCTGACAGAACAATGCTATTCCGCCGACGCACAACCATACTTTAAACTTTACAGCATTAAGTCTTCTTCGGAAATACTTGCATTTTGTCATACTTATCGTCAAAACTTAATTGGTAAAATCGAACAACATCCCACTAAGTGGGGAAGCCTGCGGCGTACCGAGGCTGCATTTGAGGGGAGTGTTCCACATATGCATGGGGTTTTGAACTGAAATAGCTGTCTTAAAAATCAATCGATGCAGTTCCCATCACTGCCCTTTTTAAGACCTAAACCCCTTTATTTTATGAGTTACTTGCCCGCAAAGATGGGGAGACTGTTTTGGGGAAAGCATTTAAAGGTTACCTCGGCATTCATCATGCCACAATAAGGCCATTTAAATCCTACCATTCCATAAGCCATATGGCGATCAAAGCCAATACAAATGTAATGGGCGAGTCGTTGATATCTGGCGTTTGTGAGTACGATTTGCATGGCCAATTTTTTAACTACATGTATATATATATATATATATATATATATATATGTTTATGTCTCGGTAGGTAGATAGATAGACAGAAATCAACGGCCGTCAGTTGGCTTTCGATCAATGTTGTGCAAGGTGCGATGACGTGATCAAGCAATGACGTATCGATGAGCATGTTAACTAAATTGAGAAATTGTGTTTCTAGAACAGTATTTCCTACTTAAAAGCATGCTATCGGTTATAAGTGAGCTTGTGTCATCGTATGTGATGCCTGTTTTAATATCTCAAAAAGGAAAACATTCCCATTGAACCAGTTTGGCGTAAACCCGCTATTCAGTATTGCCAGACAAGCATGACGGTATAGGATTTTAATGCGCAGCATTAAAATGTCCCCAAAATTATACGTCAGAAAGGTAGAGATAAAACAAGTATGCTCCCGCGAATTGAGCGCGGCCCGATAGTCGCTCGCAATCAAAAAGTTTCCGAACCGATCGTTATCGCCATCCTCAGCGACATCTGCCGTTAATCTTATGTTTCACATATAAAACGCTCGGTGGTATAAAACGCCCTTTAGAAATCTAGTTGAAAACGATATAAACGCCATTAATAAATCCAGTATGCTCTGGAGAGACCAAGTTACGAATGACAGCCAATGCGTGTATCAACAACCTTTGTAAAAATATTGTACGTTATATTTACTAAACATATGGGCATTTTGCTTGTAATCGGGTCTGATCTTCCTTCTTGAGAGTCAGAGTTATGATATTCCGCCACTTAACTATGTAAAAAGATAGCACAAGCGCCCCTGCTGTACGCCACTATGACGCTTTCGAGATAATTCCGGAAGTACGTAAATAGTGCTGCTGTAAGTTTTGTGATACCGGAAATGTTTTTCTTGTTCATCCTACCCAACGCCAATTTGTGTTCTTCGCTGCTGAGTGGACCTTCAAATTTCTCATGTTTCTGCCCGGTGAGTTTTGAGATTTGATCACTGCCAAGACAGCTTTCATGTATTCCTCTAGAGGTGCCTTCTGACATGAGCGTCTCCTTGTACTGTTCGATGCAATATCGTAGGATAGTTTTATCATCTCGCAACACTTGGCCAGTATGATTGATTTCAGAACGTATCCTTTGCTTGCACATTTGCCAGCCCCTGCTCCTAAGATAATAGGTTGCTTTTTCATCCTCCCTCACTCACTCAGCCCGGAGGCTATTAGTGCTCTTCTTGCGTGTCGTGTTTTTATTTCATCGAGCTTCTTTTCACGTGTTCTGTACAATTTGGTTCTTCGCTGTCAAGACTGCTGTTATCTTTTTGTAATTCCGTAGTCTGATCTAATATTTAATTTCTTTCTTTAACTCGCGCCCGGACGAGGAGAGTTGAGTTCCCCTAACGACTTTCGAGCACATCAGCCGAGATGAGTGAATAACTCAGGACGAAGAGGTCAATCTCTAGATAAACTGACCACACAACGTTTTTGCGGCTCAGTTACAATTGTTCAGGCATATTGTAGTAATGAAACATGAAAGTACCCACAGCTTGCATATTAAGTTGAGATTTTTTGGAATATGCGAAGCCAGTGACATGAAGGAAGGTTAATTTTGGCTCTTTTCGTGACTAATGCAATCCCTTACGTATTTTGGTGTGGTTGTGGTGTGTGTGCATGGAGAAAAGAGTACTCACGTACGTGCACAGCCATCATATGGCCACAGAACACATGATATTGGCCCAGATCATGACCTATCTCTACTGGAACCTTTTGTAAAGCCCGTGTTGAGCTCAAAAGAGGCAGTTCAACTAATAAATTTTGCAAGCAAAATTGCCATACTTCGCTGACAGCATGTTGTGATATCATTGTAATGCATAATGAGGTCACCATAGTCATGTAAAGACGTGAAAAGTCAAGTGATGTCATCGAAAGTAAATGGCCTATGTTGCCAGTAGCGCAGAGGGTAGTTGAGCGGCGAGTACGACCCATGTAACCACCTCCTCATATTTGTGAAGGGTTTTTATTTTGATCTAATTTCATGCATCAACGTACCTACTCTTAGTGTGTTACATGTATAATGCCGAGTGTCAAAAGGACTAAGTATAGTGTAGACAACAGCTATGCGACCTTGAGTACGTGTAGATATACAATACCCTATTTCTGACCGCAGAAAAGCGTCGAAGTGGTCATATAGGTCAGGTCAGCATTTTAAATTTTGTCATTTGGATGGCTTATAAATTTGACCTGAGCTGGCTTTGGATTACCGCTAGGTCACCCAAAAATGTTATTTTGTGTAGAGAATACTTTTTTCCTGCAGTTGCATCTAATAATATAAACGTAGTAAGAAGCGTATTACGAAGAAAAGTGACGCTCTTGTAGGCCACTGGTAAACCAACTTTGAACGGTGGCTTGAACGGACTTGAGCCAGGCAGATGAACAGAAATGGTCGGAAAGACCTCCCCAACAGTCTTAGAGCTTATTTCCGGCCACTCAATATCTGTCTTGACGTGTAAACATAGGTCTAAACTGTATCTATCGGAACAACTGTTTTGACCATTTGTGACCTCTAGTGACCTCAAATTTGACCTCAGGTCAAAAGTTCATGGTAAATGTTTCATCATTTTAATACACATCTAAAAGGATATCTTAAATAATAAAAGGAAATGTTGCGCATTTGTAGATGCTGAAGCAAGCATTAGATGTGGTGGCATAAGCTCACTTACATTCATTGGTACACTTTTACGTAGTAAAGCTGCTCTAGAGGACATATTTCTCGTTTTGGTAACTATGCTCCTCAGTGTGTCTTTATTTGGTTAAGTCATCGTACCCTGCACAACATTCACTGAGCGCCAATTGACAATTGCTGTATTTGGAAATCGCGCTCATGAACGCCTGAAGGCCGAAGGCCTCGTGAAAGCCTCAGTGTGTTTTTGAATCAGAGTTCTGAATGTTTGGGTCATCTGGTTCACGCCAGCTTCGTTTCTCGAAAAGGTCCGATCCCATTGATGTGCCCATTCGTGTCTATTTGGCGTGCATTTCGCAAAATGAATCAACGTTAACCTTACGTGGCCTTTTTTAACCTAAATAGCAAGCAAAAAACAAAAACAAAAACAAAACGTGGCAGGGGTGTATCCTGCCCGCAACAGTGATTCAACTAAAACTGTTTTTCTCAGGAAAAAGGCAGCATTTCGCGGTTCGTCATGCATCATTCTGGTATCCAAGCCCAAGTGTTTCAGGTTGGAGCATGTGTGGTGCGGTCACTGTTTCTGGTCAGGGAGTTTGATGATGCAGAAAAAACTGCACGGCGTTGTTACAGGACAGAAAGTTAAACGACATGTCAAAAGATGAAATGTCAAATGTCAAAGAACTCAACTAAATGAAAGGCAAATGCGAAACGTAACGTCAACGAAAAGTCAAAAGACCTAATCCAATGCGAAGTAAACATCCTTTACTGAAGTAAATGCACCGACGATCAGTGCCCGATCTCTTAAGTTTGTGGTTTAGATCAGGCTACTTCCAGGTGACCTAGGGCCAGGAAAATTGCATTTTGGACTAGTTCCGAACATATTGGGGACTCTACCGGCCTACAGGTGGTCACGCTGACATACAAAGGCCCAGACTAAACGTAAATAAGACGCACAGGTCTCGCGGCTGTGCAGAGGGCACAGAGTGCCCAGTATTTGGTCTGAAAATTCCTCCACGCAAAGGATGAGGGCGTCGTTTTGGGCCATCGCTTCAGGGCTCCCGTGAACCTCTTTAATTTTTATTCATATTTCCTAGGCCCGTTTTTTCCTTTTACATTCCCTTTGCATACCACTGAGGTGGTCAAATGGTAAAAAGTTTTTGACTTTTGCATATTTGGCTCCTTGCATTTCACTTTTGTCTGTTTGACAGTTGACTTTTTGTCTTTGACTTATCGTCGTTTTGCTTTTATCCATTGGACCTCTATCTATTGTGATGTTTTGTCATTTGGCTGTGTCATATTTCATCTTTTTCTCCTTTGGCTTCTTGGCTTTTGACTTCTTTTTTTACTCCGAGTGCACTTTTTTGGGCGTGTGACTTGCCAACAATGGGTAATTTGATCAACGATGACAGTTTTTACTCCGGGTGAACTTTTTTTGGGCGTGCCACTTGCCAACAATGAACAGTTTGCAATGCATTGCCACGTTGACAACGATGTTCATAGTTGCTTCATAGTTCCTCCGATGAACCGCCGGGGCCAGGTCGAATGCTGTACTTTTTATTGTAATCTGATTTGAACAGACATTCTTGCATCGTCGTCACACCGAGTATGAGTAAGTATCGCGGAGAGTATAATTGTTTGAACTTTCATCCGAGCCTGGTGTGCTGGCGTGCACACAGCGTCTCAATCAGTTAGCTCCTCGGGCGCGGCGTCAGGTGTAATGGATTTCTGGCACGTCTGGATAGTGTTCAGCTTTCAGCTGTGCGTGCGTCATAACCGGAAATCATGCGTAGAATAAGCTTGGAATCATACTATTCTCTTTCGAATCCCAACATTTTCAGGAGAAAATTCCGCTTGTCGCGCATACATGGCTGAAGTCAAAATGTACAGACCGGCATTGCTTTGGCAAGTTAACCTTATTTTTCTTGCTAGCACCAATTTGTCGGAGCCTATGGTACATTGAAGGTAAGTGTTGTCAGAATGTGAGCCCCCTACTCCTAATGCTCCATTCAATGCTCCTGAAGCACGTACTTCAGTGGGTGCGTCACACACAAATGGACCCACCCACTTTATCATGCGCTTTCTGCCACTGAGGTGCGTCGAGTATCATGGCTTTGTCGCGGGCGTGACTACGATCCACGTTTCCACTGACGCTGTCCTTCAACGGCTTCAGGGGCGAACGCAGTCCTGACTTATACCGGTTTTCCAAAAACGAAGGAATCGTGTCATGTTTCAGGTGATGAAAATGTCTGCTTCGACTTTACCGTGCCGAAGAAAGCGCCGTCAAACGCGTATCTACGCGCGACTGTTCGTTCGGGATTCTTCTCTTCGAGCCAGCAGTCGAGAGTATGAGAAAACTTAAGGGCATTCGGAACTGTTTGTAGCAAAACCTGGTTACGCAGATAAAAAGACGACATTGTAGTGTTTATCCATCCCTTATCTGCAATCGGTCTGTAGTCAGATTCATACCAGCGTCCATAGCTTGTATGTAGATAACTCAAACTACACGTTGAAGTGCTGATGCACACTCCCCGAGTTATGGTTGCTGCGTCATACGCCCTCAACAATCCTGGACATAAAGAAGCTCATGGTTTTGCGAATCATTTCGTCGGCTGGTAATCTGCTACCCTGTGCATTACGCCATCTGCTCTGCATTATAGAGTCCAGAGGCATATCCGGCGATATACTTGAATGACCAGCTTATCTGAGCACCGCAGTAAGTTTGTTACTGACCATCGGCGACGTCATCGAGTTTCCCGTAAAGCTGCAACTCTCCTCCCGCAGCTCCGTGTGCTGCCTTTCACGCTCGTGACGCTGGTTCAGACCGACAAGTCCAAGTACAAGGCCGGCGATCTGGTACAGTTCCGCGTGGTGACGCTCAAGAGTGATCTTACTGCCATGGAGGAGGTGGTGAGTATACCGAGAGTTGGCACCTGGTTGGGCGGGAGACTCTCTGAGGCACCGAATACGCGCCTTTACTGATGGTTCACGTGGAGGACTTGATTACAATTGATTCTAGGGATGTGTTTTGTGTTGACAACTTCCCGGCCTTGCGTTATGTGCTGCTGACGGAATGGGGCAGTTCAAAGTTGTGTAAGATCATCTCACTGGCCTCGTCAAGAATAAGGAAACAATATGCAAGTGGAAGGGGAGACACGAAAAGCCCATAATCTATCTCCCCTTTTCCTTGTGTTCTGGAAAAGTTCACGGATTAAAGGGTTTCATTTTTACGTGGATGCGGAAAGTAAACCACCCCTCTCCATCTCCCGGGTAAAGCTATACGACTAAACGACTGCGCGCGTAGGCAAAGCTACTCGACTTCAGGGTAATGTTTTAAATCTGTCTCTCTCAACCCCCCAGGTGGACCAGATTTTCATTACAACACCAGGCGGTACAAGACTGGCACAGTTCGACAAGGTCGCCACGCGGTCCGGTATCATTCAGAAGAAGTTCCAACTGACAGAAGAGCCTCCCCTTGTGAGTTCGCGCCTATTCGCACCCCTCTCCCCCCCCCCCCCCCCCCCCATAAACCACGGACAACACACGGAAAGCTAACCACGGCCCATGAACTACTACGTCTGACGCCATGAGCAACATCACTCGCCACGGCTCTAGCGTTTCATCTTGGGAACGGCTGTGGGTCGAATCGAATCCACATATCCATTGGCGGAAAGATGAACAGTGAATTTCGGCGATGGTTGTAAACCACTCGGCAGTTTATTTTATTGAGCGTGAGTCAGGTAAGTTGCCTCGGAATAATCCAAACCCCAACATAAGCTTAAAAATGTAGCACTGCGCAAGTACGCGACGTTCACTAGCGAAGTGCCACACTGGACGGTAGGTCGGCTCATGCCCTGCACTACAACACTGACAGCTTTGTGACGGTCACAGCATGATGTGAGGTCGGTAGTAAGCTGTGAGCCAATGTACCATACACTCGGCTGCTTACCTGCCCGCCTGCGTACCACCAGCGACACAAGCGTCACATCTGACGCCGCCAATCTGTCAATTTCAGTTGGATATGCTCCACAATATAGATACTTCCAGCTCTCTGAGCACGGACTGTGACCTGCACCATAACAGGGAGCAGCATTATGAACACGGACTAACCGCGCCCATCAACATAACGCGACCTTTTTCGAAATAAAATGCCATTCTCGAATCTCGTCTGTTAGCGTCAAATGCGTGGTCATCAAGTTCTCGGGAAGTTCGATGAACGCATCAAGTGGTCATAGTACGTCTTTTATTCCGGAGCCTGTGGTTTGTTTCCTGCGGAAGTTGTCAAAGGTAGTGCTTTCGAATTCATCCATTATTTATATGTAAATTAGCATGTTGAATCTGCACCCTGAGCGACTGTCAGCCTCTTCATGGGATGACTGCGAGCCTTGGCACTTTAAAGTACCTCGCTCATCATAATTTAGCCAGGTACCACCAGCATCAGCTACCATGGAGCTTGAAAAAGTCTACCTCGCAGAACGAGCTCTCTGAAACCAGTACGCAATGGCAAGTGTTGTATTTCTACTCGCTCTGACCTCCTTATAACGAATGTATACGTGATATTCCTTAAGTAAGTGACATTTTTTATTAACACTGTATCATTTGCACAATTCACAAGCACTGTACCATATAAGAGTAATCGGTTTTATTTTTGCTACGTGTGCTGCTCGCCATTCCTCGTTCAAGTAAGTTGGGGGCTCGTGACGCACCGAAGAAGTTGAATTATTTTATCTGTGTGTAGGCAAAAGCTGGTTTAACGGTCGTTAAACACCTTGAGGCCCGTTGACGATTGCCCTCTCAGCTTAAACAGAGTGTGCGTAGTTTCATACCTTGCTTTTGAAAAAAAGCTTCATCATGCCTTCAATGCCGCAGTAGCGTATCACGCAGGCGCTCATGTTAACCTGATGATGGAGAGAGCAGCCCCATTGCTTTGCAGATCCGCTGGCGCTTCATTTATGCACATAGATCACGCGCTCATTACATTCACTGCCAATGAAACACTACTTTATAGGTGACACACGCCAATCCGGGCATTGATGGAAGAATAAGCGCCATGTAACGTGTGTTTCACTGTGTGGCGCCTTGCAGAATATGCGAGGCATCGCACCGTCACGCTCCCGCGAGATGTTTCACTGTCGTCACCCTGTCATGCCAAACTTGCAGGGCAGGTGGACCATCCATGTGAAGCGCAGTGACAACATCGTGAAGCAGCCGTTCGAGGTGGAGGAGTACGTGCTGCCCCGCTTCGAAGTCACCATCACCGGCCCTAAATACATCACTAACCAAGCCAACACCGTCACCCTTAAAGTCTGCGCCACGTGAGTGCCCAGTTGCGCCGTAGTGCGGATGCCAGGGGCTGTTGCTGCTATTTGCGCCGCATCTTGCAGGCCAAAGGCAGTTAGGGTACTGCGTAGATCGCAGCAGGAGCTGGCTTGTTGGCATGGTTGCGGGTAACCTTAGCCACGCTCTTTTGATAGTGTTTATATATTTTTAAAAGCGATTTTGGTGGTCCACAGAAACATCGAAGATGAATTCAGGTACATGCTACGGGGATAGAAATAAAGAAATGCATCCGCACAAATTAGGTTTATATATAAATAACGCCGTAGAAACCTAATCACAAATTGCTGGCAACATGCTTAATGCACATGGCATATGGTTTCGATGCTTAGCCATTCCTATCATTAGCTTGAAAAAACGGTTATTTCAGTGACGGAAAAGCGAGAAACTAATTAACTAGGCGGTGTGATATCAGCATATTAAACAGCATCAGAGTCTTGCAATCTGTAGAACAAAATACCTGAACGATAAGGTGGCAGCTTATAAGGCAGCCTAAGTGTTTTCACTGCGCAGTTGTACATAAGATCATTCACAACGCATGTTTTATATTTGAAATATTTGAAATATTGCCTTAAATGTGGCCGGGCGGTTTTGGTGTAAAGCACGGCAGGCTTTACCACACGCTCGGATGGGAGCCACGTTGACTAGCCAAACGTTTTTTTATAAAATAATTTTTGAACGACGCCATGTAGCTGCGCCAGACTTTGCATAGCTGCAGGCAATTGAATAGTGGATCTTTTGTCACATGCAAAGTACATTTACTGTGTAATGCCGCTGATCTATGGCAGGTCAAAAACAGATCGTGGCTGTCATCGAGGGCACATTATAGGAATTTGTTCAGTCTGATGCGACAGAGGAGTGTAAGACGGAGCGGCACATCTCTTGGATAGTTTATTAGGCAATACAAACTTACGCAGGATTTCAAGGAACTCTATTGGCATAGGGTCTGGTATGCAGGTCAGCCTACGACCAAAGCTTATCCCCTTTTTGAGAGGTTGCTTTTGGAAATGGTTTTTGATGCTTGTTCAAATGTATTGATAGCCTGCACTGCGACAGATATATTCCATGAACTTCTTAAGGGTCTCAGTAGGTCACTGACCTGAGATTACTCTGATCAACCTTCCGTTTTAGGAACATGCCGACTGGTGCAATTCACTTTGCTTACTCGAATTTTTAAAAATCGAGACAATCTCGTAGGTTTTTGGTCACCGTGACCTTCTTAAGGCCAAACATGATCACTTGCTTCAGGTGAGCACCAGTGGCAGTTTACAGAAAACATGTTTTAAGTCCAAGGCGGTTGTATGAGGGTCCTGAGGGCAATTTGGACATCAATGTTGAGTTTGACCTTGCTTGACTTTGTTTGACCTAAGACTTTATTTTAAGATCGTGGTTAATGAACCTCAAATTTTGAACAAAAAATGAGTTCACATCCAAGCCAATCCACCCTGTAAATTTTGTGTGCCTAGCTCTATTGCTTTTTAAAGTATCAGGGGTCAAATTTACCCTCACACGAGCGAAGGTCATTCAACTGGCGCGTGGTAACCTACGAAAGGAGGTGAGCAAACAGCGACGGTTTTCCTTTTGCTTTGCAGGTAACGAGATCACCGTTTTTATCAAATAATGCATCGCGTCAATCTTCCTCATGCGTTGCATTGATATGTACGAACCACGATGTGCTGCCTCCAGCGATTGTTCAGGCATTCGGTGTTTCGAATGCAGGGGTGTCCAGGCCAGGTTTGCTTGGATGCGGTGCAGAGAACGCTTCGGGTGTACCGTTCACGAAAAAAAAACATAGCCTTGAATTCCAAGGGTGGATACGGCCTGCTGAGAGTATCATGGCCTGCTGAGAGTATCTTGCTGAGAGGATTATGGCCTGCTGGGAGTATCATAGCCTGCTGAGAGCATCATGTTGAGAGCATAGACTGCTGAGAGCATCATGGCCTGCTGAGAGTATGGTCTGCTGAGAGTATGGCCTGCTGAGAGTATCATGAGAGAGCCATATTATTATCGTGTGCTAAATGTGCTCGCACCCGATACCGTCTTTTTCAATTTTTGATTGCATGTTTTTTACCAGCGCCGTCTCGCTTTATTCCGATCTGCGATTTTCAAACCAATGCGAGAATTAACAGAGACGAGCCCATTGCTCAAATTCCTTGGCCTGCCTATTCGTAATGTGCATGTCTGCATATCTATCAATAATCTAGATGCTATCATCTAAAGCGGGACATGACTGTACGTATTGTGTTTTGCTAGAGTATCTATTCGCATTATTAGGAGGGAAAATGTTGAGCTCAAAAGGAAACCTGATCGTGAGAATTTTAGTTTTCCAGGCCTGTTGTGGGTTTCTAAATCATCCGAGACCCATCGCGCTATGGGCACAAGGGTGCCCGTTAATTGTCCTTCGCGACGACCCCCCCCCCCCAACCGTGCTTTTTATTTGGGCCTTGAAAAGAAGTTTGAGATCCCCAATATATTTAGTTGGAGTATACGCATCTTGAAGAAAGTGCTTATCATTTCATAGAGTCTGTCTCCGGTGGGCACTTTTTTGTCCTGGCTGCGATGTGCTATGCTGCTGAAACTAAGGGCTGGTCTAACATCTCATATTTGACTTTTGTTTTAAAAACTGGCGAAAATATAAGTTGAATGAAATAAACTAAATGTTGAGAACCATATTTTGAGGAGGTACCGTAGTTCCGTATTCTTGGCTTCGGCCCACGTATCATTTACACAAATCGAACCCGTACCCGTGCATATGCATGTTTAAGACGTTGGTGGAATCCAATTCTATACAAGTCAACAGAATGGTGTTTTTTTTTTTTTGTCACTGGTCGTGATGTCATGTGGAGCCCGATCGCTATCAGCTGACTGCTGATTCAAGTCAGTTAAATTGGCAGGGGCAGTTTGGAGCTTCCGTTGTACTTTGTATTGTGCCTCTGTTGTGCTCAACCGTTGCGCAGAGTGCCAGCGAGGACGGTGATGCGGTTGTCTGGTGCCAGCCATGGCGTCGTGGTGTCCAGCGCTCTGCCAGCCATGACGTTCATGGTGTCCAGCGCTCTGCCAACCATGATGTCATGGTGTCCAGCGCTCTGCCAACCATGATGTTATGATGTCCCAGCGCTCTGCCAGCTATGATGTTATGATTGTCCGGCGCTCTGCGAGGCATGATGCCATGATATCCAGCGCTCTGCCAACCATGATGTCATGATGTCCAGCGCTCTGCCAGCCATAACGCCATGTTGTCCAACGCTCTGCCAACCATGATGTCATGATATCCAGCGCTCTGCCAGCTATGATGTTATGATGTCCGGCGCTCTGCGAGGCATGATGCCATGATATCCAGCGCTCTGCCAACCATGATGTCATGATGTCCAGCGCTCTGCCAGCCATAACGGCCATGTTGTCCAACGCTCTGCCAACCATGATGCTCATGATCTCCAGCGCTCTGCCAGCTATGATGTTATGATGTCCGGCGCTCTGCGAGGCATGATGCCATGATATCCAGCGCTCTGCCAACCATGATGTCATAATGTCCAGCACTCTGCTAGCCATAACGCCATGTTGTCCAGCGCTCTGCCAACCATGATGTCATGATGTCCAGGGCTCTGCCAGCTATGATGCCATGACGTCCAGCGCTGTGCCAGCCATGATGTCATGGTGTCCAGCGCTCCATGATAAGATGTTCAGCGCTCTGCCAGCGATGATATCATGATGTCTACCGCTTTGTCGCAGCTACACGTTCGGGAAGCCGGTGCCGGGCGCTGCCCTGAAGCTGTTGGTGTCCCGTCCGTCGACGTTCTTCTTCCGACGCCGGCACGGGTCAAGTTCCGAGAAGCCGCCGCCTTCGAACGTGACCTTCACGGAGGAGGTCCGTTTCCGATAGCACGAACCCAGCATATGGGCATACACTGTCGGCACTGGCTAGCGCCTGGTCTGGTAACATACGTCCATGTAATCCTGGTGTCGACGGTCTGCAGTTCTAGCCAGGGACGAGAGACGAGAGGGCTGTTGCACGATGCCAGGCGCTCAAGCTAACGTTGACCACATATGACTCATTTGTGGCTTGATGAGTCGGGTGGCATTCTCAAATAGCACATATTTATTTTCTTGTGCCGTGCACTGTTCTCACCCGCCACGTGCGGCTCCCCAGCGGTGTGAATATTGGACGGCTGGTGTGCCCGCGCTTGATGTTGTCAGACGTTTGTGACTCAAAAGCATTGCTCGTTGGCCCATGGCACACTGTCAGATCCAATAATCATGCAGGGTAATCCTTGTGCAGTGCGAATGAATGGCTCTCGAGCATGATAACAACAGTCCGATGTACCTTGCAGTTTCGCACCGGGTGAACAAGCGCCCATGCGTAAAATACGCACAAATAGAAAGGTTGTCTCAATCGACCACGCGCCGCCAATTTAGGCTCAAGGCTAATGCAGGATTGCTCCATTTCAGACGGACACGGACGGCTGTGTCGAGATCGACGTCGTGCTGGCAAAGATCGGACTAGGAGGTGCCGTCACTCGCCGCGTCTATGCGAGTAGGGTAAGACTCGCGAAATGTTCCAGACTAGGTGCTTTTACAGGCGGAGACATTAACCAGACGACTTCCCACACTTCCAGACTAGGTGCTGTTACAGGCGGAGACATTAACCAGACAACTTGTCGCACAAACGGTTCTCTTGTTCGTGTACACTGATCTATTCAAGGGAAATCGCCCATAGG